GGCCAGGTTGCCTTACCCAGGGGAAAAATGCACATGCATCACAGGCAGCTTAACAGCATTAGACAGATTCTGTTTTGCTCTGAAAAGCGCTGGGCTCCCTGGGCTGCAGCTGTCTTCTCAAGATACCTATCCCCAGCACCAGCTCCAGGCATCATCCTTGTCCCTTACCAGTAGCCTAACTGCATCAAATATATGATTGCCATGAGGAAAGCAGGTGGAAATAGATAGTTCTGCTTTCTGGGGTCTTCTTTTCATCAATTCCATAGCATCCTTCCTGCAAGGATTATCCAGGGCTTTTCACCTCTGATATGGGTCAATAGTGTTTAATGGTAACTCAGATCCCTTGAGCTTTTATGAGTGAAATATTGCTGGATTTATAAATTTGCATGCCCATAGACATAGTCAAATCATGACTGATGCTAAAGAAGACTCCCTAGTGACAGAAACACCCAGTATCAGACCAGTACAATTCTGTGACTCGATGTCATGTACCCACCTGCAATAATAGATGAAGTTAGGGTTCACCTGGGGGTATGAAGGAAGCGGCAGCACTTCTTTTAATAAGAAACTTCCAGCCTGCTTCAGAAAATGTATAGAAACAATAAATATAACTGTAGAACTGAGAGGGGGGAAAGAGGAAAAGCTGTGGAAGTGAGAAAGCAGCACTGAGGCGGACTTGATGAGTTTTCCCGCGGGTTTCCGCTGTGTTGGAAGGGTGGAAACAGTGAGCAGCAGAACAGGTTCAGCTCTCCACATGCCTGCATCATCTGTTGCCTTTCTAAAAACAAATTTATACCTCCTCAGTTTGAGACTGTAGCATGTTAACACCGTCTTTCAGCTAAGTGTTTTGGGTGGTTTGTATATAGCTATTAAGCAATCTTCCCCAAGGGCTTTTTAGTTGAAGATGGTCTTTATGGTGCTGGTAGGGAGATGGCAGTCACAGCGCCGCCAAGCTATGTAGCTGTGGGGAATATAGCAAACCCAGCTCCACGGTGAGTCCTTGACAACCTGGTGAAGGCACAGTGTCCATGCCAGCAGTGGAGGTGAGTCAGGCCAGCCAGGGCCACTACTCATCTGTACTCGTGTTCTGGAAGCATCAGGAATTTACAAAGCACAGATTGGAGAGTCATGATGATGATCATGGAGCACCTCCCATATGAAGACAGGCTGAGAAGCTGTGTGGAGACCTCAGAGCAGCTTCCAGTATCTGAAGGGGGCCACACGGATGCTGGAGAGGGACTCTTCGTCAGGGACTATAGTGATAGGACAAGGGGTGATGGGGCTAAACTGAAATAGAGGAAGTTCAGTTTAGATGTAAGGAAGAAATTCTTCCCCGTGAGGGTGGTGAGGCACTAGAACAGGCTGCCCAAGGAAGTAGTAAATGTTCTATCCCTGCCAGTGTTAAGGCCAGGGTTGGACAGAGCTTTGGGTGACATGGTCTAGTATGAGGTGTCCCTTTTTAGACTTGGATTATCTAGGCTTAGGTATAGAATCATAGAATAGTTAGGGTTGGAAAGGACCTTAAGATCATCAAGTTCCAGCCCCAATGCCATGGGCAGGGACACCTCACCCTAAACCATATCACCCAACCTGGCTTTGAAAACCAGCGTAGACATTAGCTGCCCTTGGAGCTTAGCTGAGGCCAAGACCATGGAAAGCAACCAGGGTTGCCCATGATGGAAACCTGGGTGGGTGGGAGGGCTACGAAAAACAGCCCTTTCAAAACAGCCCTTGCAGAAACAGACCTTGCAAATGTGTATGGTCAACAGAAGAGCATGGGGAACTAATGTGAAGAGGGCAGAAAGGGTTATGGAAAGGGAAGAAATGCATTGTGCTCTGCTGAGAAATAGCTCAGTTTAGATGCTTGCATTGAGACAGACGTCCCTGATTTTAGTGACATTTGGCCTCAACCAGTTAATGGGAGCCTGCAAAAAACTGCAATAAGTCATCTGCTTTGCTGACAGATGTGACGCACTGCTCATCTCAGAGCTGCTGATCTGATGTTGCTCTGAGCTGTCATCATCTGACACAACAGTAGGACTTAAATGAAAGGAAGAACCAACAGGACAAGGAAAGAAGGATTTCTGGCTGATGGGCAGCCTGACAGTGAGCTCAGAGAAATCAGTGCTCCATGGCTTGAGATATGAGCAGTTGGAGCGACTCGTGCCCCCAGGAGGAGCATGTCAGCGGGCTCACATAGCAGGGTAGGTCGGTCCTTCTGGCCAGCAGGCTGGACATAGGGCCCTGTGTTTCCAGATTGGCCTCAGGTCAAAAACCTCTTGGGGCCAGTGAGGACTGTGTTACCTCTGCAGCAATGACACTGCGCTTCTCCCTCCCTGTTTAGCTGGAGAAGAGAGGTATTTGCAGGAAAGCCGATGACCCTGCTAGGTTCCTTTGAGGTAGACCATCAAAAAAAACATCCAAGACCTGGCTGACCTCTCTTCCTGCAAAACCAAAAGTATCCCAAAGGAGGAGAACCCTCCTGTAGGATGAGGACCAAACCTCAAGCTCAGTGACCTGAGAGGTCTCTGCCTTGCTGATCCCAGGACAACATCGCCTTCCTGCAGCCACTGCTAGGCAATATGGCTCGTGGAGGATGCTCTGGGGTTTGGCAGGTCCTGCAGATGTTTCACTATACCGGACTAAGGCCTCCCAAGATACAAAAAAAAAGGCTGGAAATCCTTAGCTAAAGTTGCACCAGGCATCAAGAGATGAGAGACGGACTTTTTTTGCTCTACTTGTGTGCTACAGTGTGTCCCAGTAAATGTGTGGGAATACCACTTAAGTTTCAGTGTCTTGTGTCACTCTAAGCTGTTTTTGTCTGAAATACAACTACACTACGGTCACAGACAAGTGGTGCACAGAGGGGCTAGCACTTTTACCTGCTCTTGCACCTTGTTTTCAGGCCCTGTGAAGACCTGGAGGTGTAAAATGGCTCATCAGTAGCAACTTTCCATGGGGAGGAATCCATGGACATTAAAGGCTGAGCAATTCACCATGAATTGCTTTGCAAGTACCCAACTAACACAGCAGTTAGGAGGCATCTCCCCATGACTATGGTGATGTTCAGCTTTGGCAATGTGCCAGGGCAGCACAGAATTCCCATTTCATTACTCAGCCTTTACATGCCGTGGCTTACAGTGAATTGGTGACAGCAACAAATATGACCAATATTTGGGGGGGAGTGGGGTATGTGAACGGCTCTTGGATCTGGGTTTGCGGCTCTGTCACCGAAGAATGGCAGTTTTGATCCCACCTCCTCTGGTTTTAATTGATAACATAGTCAAATCACACTGTTATCTGACAGCATGAGAAATTATCACCTTAAGAAGTGCTGCTGCTGGTGGCACACATATTTGTTACCTGCTGCCTTTCTCAGAGGGGCACTGTGGAGGATTATCTTGCATTTAAGAGATATTGTAATTACTTACACACAGTTTTGCAAACCATTTGCTTCTGTTAGGTCTTCTCCCATTGTTTCCCTTGCTGGTATTTTACATGCTTTGTGCATCTCCTTTTTGCATAGGGGTATGAACAGGGAGCAGTCAGGGCTCCCTGAGCTGCTGTGATGGACTTAACCTGCCTGCTGACAGATGGGAGATGGGAGCAGAAGCGATCTGTGTGAAGAAGGCATGATGTCCATGTCTTGGGATGACACTCAGTGTCTCCTGGTGCTGTTGTTCCTGGGTATTTTGTGCCGTTGGCAAAGATTAAAAGAGGAAGAGGAGGTTTTTAGGAAGGTGTTCAAATCACTAAAGGGCAGATGTTCTATTCTGAGGCTGATCCTCAGCAAAGAGGCATCTATAATAACTTCACTTGAGCCATTCTTCACCTTGGAGTTGAATCTTTCCCTAGTTGAAGAGACAGAAATTTTACCATGATGCCTGTAAATTAACATGCCATATTGGGCCAAGGGCCTATCCAACAAGGCACAATCCCGTGACAGATGTTTTGCAAAAGGCTCCACCAGAGATGTCTTTCACACCTCATTTCTTCCTCATTCCAATCAGTTTCATGGCTGGTCTCATAGCTGTTGCTGTGTGTTTCCTGCAGCCACCCTCTCCCTGCATGCAGCTCACAAGGATGGGCTATTGAAGGGTCTCAGCAAAGACACGTGGTCTTAATCCTGACCTTCAGAAGTGGAAGGTCTCAATCATGTCCTGTAGTCAGCGAAAGACAGTTTCTTAGAGCAGAGATTATTTCCTTGCCTATGAGACATATTTAGACAGGCAAAGAAATACCTTGAATGGCTTAGAAAGTCAGTAAGCTTTGAAAACTTCAGTGAGCTCATAACCCATGAAACATATTTTGGTAAACAGTTGTTTTTTTTCCCTTTCCTAAAATGCGGAGGCTATATCACAGAATCATCAAATGGTTTGGCTGGGAAGAGGCTTTCACAGGTCATCTAGTTCCAGCCCCCTGCAATGAGCAGGGACATCTTCCACTGCACCAGGTTGCTCAGAGCTATGCACAACCTGGCCTTGAATGTTTCCAGGGATGGGGCATCTACCATCTCTCTGGGCAACCTATGCCAGTGTTTCACAATCTTCACAATGAACAATTTCTTCCTTATACCTAGTTTGAATCTCCCCTCTTTTAGTTTAACGTCATCACCCCTTGACCTATCACTACAGGCACTATTAAATTTTTTCTTCTTTTCTCTTTAAGACAGGAAAACCAAACCAAGCTGGAGTAGTTTTGATCACTACACACTTCAGTTTGGAGCCAAAATTCACACTGAACTCAAACATATGTTTTGGTTCTAATGTTCTTTGGAGGAGAAAAGCTATTAGTCAAAATCAATATTTCCCATGTAATCAATGTTAACTGACCTGTTCTCTTTCTTTTTAACCCTTTTAGCAGAGAAGAAAACTGATGTTTGCCCAGTTCTTGCCCTGGATGGCCAACCAGTGAGCTGGGCTGCCCTGGATGGCCAACCACTGTGCTGGGCTGCCCTGGCTGCCACTGGCCCCCTTGACAGCTGTGATCTTCTCTTCCAGGTGCTCCATTTCAAAGGTCTCAGCATCCCCATGCTACCTCCTGCCGGCATTTCCACCTGGGTCCCCAGCCTCAGCTCCCTGCTGACTTCACCCTGCCCCATGCAGTGCAGCCCCAGCCGGGGCTGACTCCTCACATGGCCCCCCCACACCAGCACAGTGGTCCCCTGCACCAGCCCCTGGCCCCAGTGCCAGCCCTGCCCTTCCAGGACATGGCCGGACCCTCCTTCCTACCTCAGGCGCTACACCAGCAATACCTCCTCCAGCAGCAGCTCCTCGAGGCACAGCACCGCCGGCTTATGCCTCATCACAGGTAAGGGGACCCTACTTGTCTTGTAGGATACTGAGAGCCTATCTTAGCCTCACTTCAGCAGAGCGGCTCCTGCAAAACCCTGAAAGTATGTAGAGGCATAGAATCATAGAATCAAATAGGTTGGAAAAGACCTTTAAGTTCACCAAGTCAAACTGTTACCCCAGCACTGCCAAGGCCACCACTAAACCATGTCACTATGCAGTCTGTGAACACTTCGAGGGATGGTGACTCCACCACTGCCCTGGACAGCCTGTTCCAATGCCTGACCACCCTTTGGGGAAGGAATTGTTCCTAATCTCCAGCCAAACCTTCCCTGGTGCAGCTTGAGGCCATTTCCTTTTGTCCTGTCACCTGTTCCTTGGGAGCAGAGACCAGCACCCTCCTGGCTCCATCCTCCTTTCAGGTAGTTACAGAGAGTGATAAGATTATCCCTGAGCCTCCTCTTCTCCAGATTAAACCCCCCAGGTCCCTCAGCTGTTCCCCATCACACTTGTGCTCCAGGCCTTTCACCAGCTCCATTGCCCTTCTCTGTACCCATTTCAGAGTCGCATGCTGGTAATGCTGGGTTTTCTTCACAAATAAGTTCATTGTGTACTCCTGAAATGCATCCACCAGAAGAGAAGATGCAGGGCAAGTTGCACCTGCAGGTACACCTTTCCCAAGGGGATACAGAACGTGTTCATCTAGTATGTTCCATGGTCATCTATTATTGTTACTTGTTCTTCATGTTCTTCATGTAACAGAAAGCAATAGACTCTATGAGCTACCTCATCACAGCTCCTGTTTCAAAACCAGGTCAGAGATTGTACCCACCCATCCCATCAGGTTTTGCACATGAAGACCTTTCTGCTTTGGGTCAAGGTAGGCTTTCCAGCTCAATGAGGGAATGATGCTGTTGACCTGCAGCACATTCAGTCACAGAAAGCAGCCTAAATTCAGACTGGGCTCATGACTGCATAGAGACTTACTCAGCAGAGGTGGAAATGGATGCCTGGCCTTGTCCTGATTGTGTTTCTTGAGAGAGGGGTTTAGATAGCACGTAGGAGAGGAATGCTTTTTTTGGAGACATATGGAAGCTATTTGTGGGTTGTACCCATGGATCAAGAATCAGAGGATGAGTCTTTGTGATAATGCTTCATATGGAAAGAATGCTGCAGACAGAAAACACTTTCTCTCCATACTCTTTCTGCCTGAAAATTGTGTGTTCTTCCCATCCTTGTTTTGTTTTGCATAAGCTGGGGTTTTAGGTGGATTTAATGATTAGTTAATAACTGGGTAGCAAATATGTGCAAGGCTGAGGCACTGATGATACAAGTGTTTATCTCTTAGTCATAAGCTGAATTCAAATAAAAGCACAGAGCATAATTCCATGAAGAAGCTGCTTTGGTGGATGCTGTCAGTGTTACATTTGGAAGTGGGTTGTGGTGTGGAAAAGGTCAGGAACATCTTGCCTAGTCCCACATCCTGTTTCTGAAAGCACACCTGCATCAGAGGAGGGTGTCAGAAACCTCATAGGTTACAGGCATGAGGTCCCAGTAACAGGAATCTGGGCTGTGTCTATAAAATTGAAGCCTGTGAACTGTGGCTGCATGAAAAATTCTTTATCTAGCTCTTCCCTGATGCATTGGCTCTAGTGTTTTCCCATAGATTTGTTTTGTGATGGCTCCACTGGTAAGCAGGGACTCAGCAGGGAGCAAGGTGTATGAGTCCGTAATGCAAATCCTGCTTGTGCATCCACCTTGTCTTTCTCCAAATGGGGATACTGATCGAGCAGCACATGCGCTACCCCTAAGTAATTCAAATAAGCAATAATCAAGAGAAGAGACTCAAATCCTCAGAAAAACCTTGCTGCGTTTTCTACTATTTTCCTTTACCTGCCTGCAAGGGCAGCAGAGCTGAGGGAGAAGGAGGTGGATCCCAGCCTGCCCTGTCCATCATCCAGAGAAATACTGTCAAAGGCCAGCGAGAGTAAATTCTGCTTTCAGTTACTCCTCAGTAATCCTGTTATGAATGAGGTTTCCCAGGAGTTTATGGACTGCATGGGGAGACGAGACAACCTGCAGCTTCTTTATGATGATAGATAATGGCTGAAGCAGGGACACGTTTTATCTTGTCTTGTTTATGGGGCTGGCAGTGAAAAATAAAATAGTGCAAATGGCACAAAGCTGCTGAGGAAGAAGTTGTTTGGTTTCCTCTTTTTCTCTCCACGAGAGTAATAGCATCTCCTGTAAAGTGAGTGTAAGTGGATGCCATGGCAGTGGGGGAAAGCAAAGGTCTGCATTACGTCTGTGGTGACCATGAGTAAATAACATAGCCTCTTCCTATCATCCCTGACACCTGTCTGGACTCTTTTCTCTTGAACACATAGAATCCCAGCCTGGTTTGTGTTGGAAGGGATCTTAAAGCCCATCCAGTTCCAGCCTGCTGCCATGGGCAGAGACACCTTCCACTAGACCAGGTTACTCCAAGCCCTGTCCAACCTGGCCTTGAACCCAGGGATGGGGCATATTCACAAGCCCAACCGTTTGTTTCTGTCCCTTGGTTCATTGACACATACTCTTGAGCAGGAGCTGTACATACCAGTGATGCCACATGGCTCACCCACTCTGTCTCCTCCCCACAGGCGGGCTCAAGAACGTATGTCTGTCCAGCCTCATCGCCTACACCCCAGCTTTGACTTCAGCCACCAACTGCAAACTCCACAACCCATAGGGCCCCAGCCCAGGTATTTAGCCGAAGGCACGGATTGGTAAGTCTTCCATATTTCACTAGTGTTTAGAATGATGTATTTGAAAAGCACTGGAAGGGTACAAGTGTTTATGAATGTCACCATGGATCAGTGCTTCATGGAAGTTAATGGTTCAGCTCAACAGATACAATGTGTGCAATAGGAAACTCATCTTAGGGAGGGACATCTTGGCTGAAGCACTTACAGAATCATATAATGGTTTGGATTGGAAAGGACCTTAAGATCATCTGCTTTCAACCCTCTGCATGGGCAGGGACGCCTTCCACCAGACCAGGTTGCACAAGGCCTGTCCAACCTGGCCTCGAACACTGCCAGGGATGGAACATTCACAGCTTCCTTGGGCAGCCTCTTCCAGTGCCTCACCACTCTCATAGTAAAAAATTTCTTCCTCATATCTAACCTAAATCTCCCCTGTTTAAATTTAAACCTATCACCCCTTGTCCTGTCACTAGAGTCCCTGATGAAAAGTCCCTCTCCAGCATTCTTGTAGCCCCCTTCAGATACTGGAAGGCTGCTCTGAGGTCTCCATGCAGCCTTCTCTTCTCCAGCCTGGACAGACTGAATCCTCTCAGCCTGTCTTCATACAGGAGGTGCTCCAGCCCCTGGTCATCCTCATGGCCTCCTCTGAACTTGCTCCTTCTATATGCATGTGTATGATCACATTGAGGTGTTGATATTGCCCGTAACTCTTCATCCATGGACAGAGCATGCAGCCAAGCATTTGTCTTCCCCAGGGGCTTTTCCTGCTGAAGGTCACAGCCAGGGTCCTGTAGACCAATGTCTCTGTCCAAGCTAGATCTCCTGCTGTCCATCAGGCATTCAAGAAACAGTGACCACAGCTTCTTCTGTCTAAATTAGGGAGCACTGTGCTGACCTGCCCTGCAGGGTGGTGTGAATGAATTAATAGTTGTTAATTGTTCTCCCACTGTAGTGTTCCATACCCTGGAACAAACGAGCAGGGAATTGGCCATTTCATTTTCAGAGCAGGTCTCAAGCTCTTGCGCAGTTAGTATTAATAGGGCCCTATTTGGAAGAATAAGAAAATAAAAACATAATTCTGAGCTTTGTAGCTGAGGAAAGTCCATTCTGTTCACTGAATGGAAGAAATAGAATGTGAACATGTAATTAGAGACAATCACAATGAGTATGCACAAGGGGAGCAAAATAAAATGGTACAGGAAATCTTAATTATGGCATTTTCTAACATCTGAGCACTTCACTCTGCAAATGGAGAGTCCTTTTAACATAGGGGGAGTTTTCCCCCTCCAGGTTAATAATACACAGATTAAGGTATGGCCAGATCCTTCTGCTGTTTTCTTCTCAGGTGTTCCCATTACTGGCACCACTGTGGGTTAAATTTGGCCAAGATAACATTGTTCAGATCAGTTTGCAAAACTGTTCGTGTACCATCTGGGTACAGCCATTCTTTCTGCCTCTGTTTTGTAGCAGAATGTTTAATTATAATCATTAGAAGGATCTGATAAAACATCACTTTATGTTCCCCTCCTCCTCCCTCCTTTCCCCTCCCTGTGTTGCTCCATAGCCTTATAAAACCGAAGGAGTAAGGATGACAGAAATCGCATACTGTGTATATATATCTGGGTGACTCACTTCCCCTTGGGGCACACGTAGAGTTTTGCCCAGTGATGGATATAAAAACTTTGCTCTAATGTGTTACCACCGCATAAGCAGCAGCAGTTGTAGGCACTGTTGCGAGAAATGGAGATAGAAGGAAGATCTGAACATGATCAGTCATCTCAGGCAGCCCAACTTTGATTAAAATCCCCTGGTGAAGAATACATAAACTCCCATTTAGTTCCTTAAGTCATCTTCTGCATTTGTATTCAGTGATGACCATTCAATCTGTTATCCTTGACTTGCTGGTTGTTGGCAGCCCATGTACCATAAGCATCACAGTTCTTGAACCTTGCATCTGAACATCAAGACGTTGTACAGAAATCCATGCAACACAGGCTAGAAGATGATGGTTGGTTTTGGTTTTCTTCACCTAATGTGCTTTGCTTATTCAACCCCAAACTCTAAGAAAACACCGTTCCATGAAGTCTTCTGCTTCGGACCCTTCTGTACTACCACAGCATCACTTCAGGGGCCTCAGTATCCAATTGTAAGGCTTTGGATGCATGAATGCACAAACAGTTCAGCAGTGCTGTTAATGCAATTACTTGTACAAGTCAGTGATGGCCATTCATCTTTGAGAGATCTCTGCAGCCCTCAATCTCAAAGCACTCCAGGGATTATCACATCTATTTTTTAGACAGTGAATACGGGAAGGCAGAGAGGAAGTGGTCAAGGTCATGCATCAGGCCACTGACAGGGCTGGGAATGGATCCAAAGCCTCCTGATTTCCAATTGAGCCTTCCATCTACCTGGGAACAGTCTTAAGCAACTGGATAAACATCCAAAATTGTGACACAGGAGCTGGAATGTGCCCAGTCCTGCAGCTTCTCACCCTGGTTGTGCTCTTTCCAGTCGCCTGCTGTCTCTTATCCTCTGCCAGGTTTTGTCTGGCTAGCACATGGCTAGCACAGGCCCAGCAAAGATAGTCCCTTTTTGCTTCACCTTAATGTGGGGTGTCTTATGAGGGAGTACTAGAGCACAGGATCTGGTGCCTGGTATGCAGGCGGTTCTGGCCAAAGGATTCCTGCATTTACTGTCCCTTCATAGCTGTTATCTGCTGCTGGGTGAAAGCAGTTTCCCAGCTGCTGGAGGACACGTCTCGGTTGCTCCTAACAAGCCATGGTACTCACTGCTGCTGTCCTCCATGTGGGGGAAAGGAAGTTCAAAGCTGAAATGGGAAGACACCCCTGTGATCTAATTAGCTTTGCTCTGGTAAATGTGAAGACAATGGTTATTACAGCACTGGCTTTTGTAATTATGATAAAGAGTATGATGACTTGTTTGCTGAGACACTCTAGCTGGACAGACAAGGGATCAGCTAATTGGATTATAGACAGAGGATCTGTGTTAGGTCTTCTCTCATCCCCTCCACACAGTTTGGGGATGGGGTTGCAATTTGTCTCTGCATGCTGGACTGAGCAGAGCTGTAGAGTTTGCCAGGATCTTGGTCATGCCAAACCCTGGGATTGAGATGAATTATTTTTCTGGAGGAAAAATCCACCCAAACTCACCAAGATGAGCCCCCAGTTCTGCTTGCCCAGGCCAGGATGCATGCATGCAAGTGAGACCATCGGGGATGTCCTGATTCATTGTCTAGTGGGAGTGTCCCTGCCTGTGGCAGGGGTTTGAAAATGAGTGATCATTACGTCCTTTCCAACCCAACCATTCTATGATTCTACAATTCATTGGTGATGGACTGCTGGTGATGTGACACCCTTTCCTACATCAGTCTCATCCATAAATCTCTTACCTTCTGCACACAGAACAGTTCTGGAGCTTCCTGAGGCTGGGTTAAGGCGAGGTGCAGTCTCCCATGCCTCCCCAGGTCCTACCATGATGTAGGTTGGGAGATCTCCAAGGAAAGCACATATACATCTAAAAGCCCCCAGATGGTGCCTGATCAGCTCCTAACTACTGTGGATGATTCATTGGTGTGTTTCCTGAGCAATTAGCTGTATTCCCACTAAATATTCAAAGCAAAATGTAATTGTTTGCAGCATGGGGAGTACCTGGTCTGACCAGATTGAGTTACCAAGCCTGGGTATTGATCAGAGCCACCAACATGCTCTTGCTCTGAAATTAGCAGGCTGAGTCTGTGCAGCTCTTGACATTGGCCAACACAAAAGCTAACTGACATAAAAGCAACCCTTTACTCCTTCGAGCTGGTACAGGCATGAGGGATTGCCCAAAATGGAGGAAACTCCTTTCCAAGCAGTAGCATCACCCAGTGTTGAGGAACCCACAGCAGCCCACATCCCACCAGTGGAGGTTGCCCTTGAGCATTACCTGACTTGGTATAAGCCATGCAATACAACCATGCAGTCAAAGCCATAGGAATATAGAATCATTTAATAAACTAGGTTGGAAAAGACCTTTAAGTTCATCCAGTCCAACCATTATGCCAGCACTGCCAAGGCCACCACTAAACCACGTCACTAAGGGCCTCATCTACATGGTGTATGAACGCTTCCAGGGATGGTGACTTCACCACTGCCTTGGGCAGCCTGTTCCAATGCCTGATCATCCTCTGGTGAAGTAACTGTTCCTAATCTCCAATCTAAAATCCATATCCTCACCCTCGTGTCCACAGGGACCTCAGTGTCGATGCGGGACTGACTCACACCCAGTTCCAGGTCCGTCCGGTCCCTCAGCCCTATCAGCATTACTTAGCTACACCTCGGATGCACCACTTCCCCAGAAGCACATCCTCAACACAGATGGTAAGTGAGACGTTTTTACCAAGAAATGTTTTATGCATTGTCTGCCAGAAGGCAGTCAAAATAAAGGCTGCTATCTTTCTATCACCTGTCTTCTGTGAATCCCACTTATCTCCGGCCGTGGGAGGGAGTGTCTGAAAGGATAATGTTGCATCATTGCACTCTGGATTAGAGAAAGGAAAGAAAAGCTCAGCTGCTCTGAAAACGTTTGATCAAACGCATGCAGCACCATGCTCACAAACTGGTCTGCAAAACCTGAGCAGCATGTGAGAGACTCAGCAGTTATTACTAATAGTATTAACACTGGAACAAACTACGGTCTCCCAGAACTCTGTGTATGAATAAAGATTGGTGATAGGTGATCCTTTCCTTGGGCTCAGAAGATCATTCCTTGTCATGTCTTTTCTCACTACATCAGCCTTGATGCCATCTGTAGAGGTTTATCACAGGTGGAGGTGGGATTTGATGAGAAGATAGGCTGACTGGGGTCATTTGCTGGCCCTTCTGCTAGCAGGGTGCCATGTTTGGAGCTGAGTCATGCCAAGCACTTCTAGGCCTTAAAGCATCTTCAGAAAACCTACCAAGGTGTTTTTAACTCGTCCCCATAGTTAGACCCTGACACCTGTGTACTACAGTGACACTTAAAAAAATCAAAATGTGGACAGAAAGAAATCCACCCATTTAAAACTAAATAAAATAAAATCCCCTTTGCAGCTGATCCATGTTTAGAGTTTGGCGCTGCAATGTTATGAACGCAACAGGAACATTGAAACAGTTTATTCGGAAGAAATGCATGTTCTTAGTTATCATTTATAGGAGATCTTTTTAATAAAACCTTTTTTTTTTTCTTATGACTATGCTTCCACTGAGGAAAGGTGCCAGTCTGCTCTTTTGTTTTAGATTTTCAAGGCACTTGATTTAAGTCAAGGTACACAAGGGATTTCAATGTGCAGTACAGGTGGCTTTATTCTTCTCCCTTGCTTCTCGCAGGTTGTTCATGAAATCAGAAATTACCCTTATCCTCAGCTGCAGCTACTTGCTCTTCAGGGACTGAACCCAAGCAGGCACACATCAGCTGTGAGGGAGAGCTATGAAGTATGTATCTCAGGGGCTGGAATTATCATTTAACTTTTAATGCTGGGAATATATGGAAGCTCTGGCATAAACTCGTGTTTTGTGGCATGGCAGTTGCACTGAGTCTTACAGCAATTTTAGTAATAGCTGTTTGAGTAGGTCTGGTAAAAGCTGGTTTACTCCAAAGTGCCTGCATCTGGCTGAGGTTGACTGACTCTCTCCATGTCTGTCAACAAAGAAAAGAAGGCTCCAGGGAGACCTTAGAGCAGCTCCCAGTGCCTAAGGATGCTACAGGAAACCTGGAGAGGGGCTTTGGACAAGGGCCTGTAGAGACAGAACAAGGGGAATGGCTTTAACCTGCCAGAGGGGAGACTGAGATGAGCTCTTAGGCAGAAGCTCTTCCCTGTGAGGGTGCTGAGGCGCTGGCACAGGGTGCCCAGAGAAGCTGTGGCTGCCCCATCCCTGGCAGTGTTCAAGGCCAGGTTGGACACAGGGGCTTGGAGCAAGGTGCTCTAGTGGAAGGTGTCCCTGCCCATGGCAGGGGTTTGGAGTGAATGAGCTTTAAGCTCCCTTCCAACACAAACAGTTCTTGGATTCTATGAAAATGCTTCAGTTCTGCATGGTTTTGTTTCCCAACAGAACTCAAACTCCACCCTAATTTCTGAATTGCTGGATATCCTGCTCTTTGCCTTGAATCTTTAGTTATTAGCCCAAATACCAAAGCTCAGATCCATCATTTTAGCGTGACTGCTTTGGGGTTGATGAACATTTCTGTGAAGGAAAGGGCAGCAGGGAGCCTTGGTCACTAGCAGGTATGGTGGGTTGGTGGGACCTCGTGCCTAGGATCAATGCTGATGCTGCTGTGCTGCTGTTGCTGTGCCATAGGAGCTGCTGCAGCTGGAGGACAGGCTGGGCAGTGTGAGCCGTGGTGCTGTCCAGAACACCATCGAGAGGTTCACTTTCCCCCACAAGTACAAGAAGGTGAGAGCCCCAAACCACAGCAAGGGGGACAGCCCCTCTCAGTTGTACAAGTGCTGTGCACACAGAGCAGATGGAAGGTCTTCGGTGGGTCGCAATCCTCAGGTTGTCAAACTGGTGGCCATCAATCAAAATATTTCCCAAAATGAGTGAGGCATGTAAAATCCAGAATTGGTGCTTTGATATCTTATGAGCCTCCCTTCCCTTTGCGAGGGGTACCTCCTCTGTTGGAGCTGATCTCCTTCCTGAAAGGAGATGGTGCCATGTTTCTGGGTTGTGGTGAGTAGAAAATGGGCAAAATTCTTGCTTGGGTACAAATTTTACATGTTAGTAATTTGCAGCTGGGCAGTTAGAAGTAGAGGTGTTGTATTGCCCACACATGAAGTGAGTTGACTCCTGCTGTGTTCATCTCTGGGTGCATCTCCAATGGATCCAGAAGAATTATAGTAGTAGCAATGGATGTGTGTTTGGAAAATAAAAAGGGAGAGCTGACTGGCTAAGTGCTACCCCATGGTACAGCATGTGGCTGGGCCAGTGGCTAAGCTGTCATGGGACACAGTGGTTGCCCTTCCTGGCAGTGGTGGCCCCATGTACTTTGGGTTCTCCAGGAGAAGCCTCCAGCAAAGGAGATGTTGGGCCAACTTCACTGTGAGGAAGTTGGGGGGCTGTGTTAGGGCAGCAGAGGTCAGGCTGCTCTGTGGGACACTACCACCAGTCCCATTGTTACTGGCCCCAGGAAGAGATGTGCCAATGACCAGTATGTCGGTAGCATCCTCCCCTCACTGGCCACTTCGGTTTCCTCAAACTGGAGGATCTGGCTGGTAGATGAAGCTCTTATTATTTACCTTTGTGCAACTGCCCAGGCTTGGGAGAGCATTAGAAAGTCAAGTCCTAACCAATTTGTTGGTTATGTTTTTAACCTTGTCTTCAGAGAAGACCACAGGAGGGCAAAGCTGGGCAAGAGGATGGAGAGGAGTCGGACACTGACGAGAAATGCACAATCTGTCTGTCCATGCTTGAAGATGGAGAAGATGTCAGGTATGATCTTTCCATCTGCTCTTCTGCCTCCCTGTGCCATCTGAGTTGTGTTTATTGGGATTAGGGCTGGTGTGTGCTGGTTGGGTTGTCCCTGTTCCTGTCCTGACAAACTCATTTGGGCTGTTGCAGGGTCTGGGAAAACAAATGCTGTTTAGAAGCTGTTCTGTGCCAACAACAAAGCCTCACAAACATCTCCAGGCTCTCAGCTGGGTCAAATCTCTGCCTGTGACAGAGTATGCTGACAAGCAATTTCAAGGAGCTGAGCTACCATGTCTGAAGGAGCTGCAGTGCAGCTACACTACCTGATCCTGCTTCTCACCTTTTAATTGCCTTAAACCATCAAGAACAACCCTGATCCTCTTGCTGTGGGTCCTTGTGGTTCAGGGTCCCTCTGACTCAGGACAGTGAACAAACTGATGGTTAACATAACATAAGTGAAAAGCAGCTACATTCCCTACACCAGACAACCACATGGGGACCCACCCCACTGCTAATGAGCCTCAATGGTGAAAACCCAAGAGGCTTTGCAGTGAAACCTAGTGCTCCTGAATGGTTAAAAAAAGCAGCAGCTGGGGTAACTAATAACCAGAATAATGCAAGTTAGGAGAGTGTGGGCTTTTCTAAAAGGCTTTTAGCCGAGAAGGACACCATCTCTGACTTAGTACCCTATGTGAGCTGGCATTGCTGGGGAAGGCTGTAGCACTGGTGTTTGAAGCATCCACTGTTGCTTTCTAGCTCTTCTTGTTCCCCTGGACCTCTTCCAGTCTTAATAGTGTGGTACCTCTCTCTCTGCAGGCGGTTGCCCTGCATGCATCTCTTCCACCAAGTGTGCGTGGACCAGTGGCTGGCCACCAGCAAGAAGTGCCCGATCTGCAGGGTGGACATTGAAACACAGCTTGGCTCGGACAGCTGAAAGGACTGGCTGGATACACCATTTTCCTTACCAGGTCGTATGGCCATAAACCCTTGCAGCAAATTTTTTGCCTTCTGAGCCATTTGATTGAGAAGAAAAGTCTGCAGGCACGTTAGTGAGGAGGAGGTGGAGGAGGTGGCAGTACAATATCTAGCGGTAGGAGATATTGCACATACGCAGGATACGGGCCCAGTAAAAGGGAGCTGGCATTCCCGGAGCTCAGAGACCCCGTGCTGCAGAAGATTTAGTGTTGAACATGAAGGAACTAGTTGTGGTAGTCTGGCCTGTCAATCCTGCATTTCATGAGGATTGTATATATACCTCTCGAATATGTAGAAACATGTTAGGGGTCTTTTAGCTATTTCTATGGATGGCAGCTGGAGCATGTTAGCTTGAGAAATGTTGTGTTTGATGCCCTACTCATCTTGTGGTGGACATGTTGCTGTTAGCTGATTTGCACCAAATATTTTTTCATAGATTCCTTATTTTGGTGCCTGATTAATACATTGCAGAGGGGGATGAAAAAGGTCAACCTTTCCCACCCTTTTTGAGTGGGGAAGAGGCGAAAAAGCAAAATCCTGTTTACAGTCAGAAGGGTTGTGCTCTTTGCCTCAGCCGCATGTGCTTCCTTTCCCTGTGTTTACAGTGTGTCCCAAATTTAGAGAAGCTTCAAAAAAAACAACTAAAATTTGGAATAAAATTAATGAAGCAATAGGGAGAAGCTTCATTCCTGCTTATCTGCTGATGCTGGACACTTTCTTTAGGGGTGCAATATTGGAGTAGATGTTTCTTCACTTTTTATCTTAATGAAGTAACTTGCCATATTGGAATTCAAGAAAGGGGTGTCTTCATGATTGTCATTATCTATGTTGCTTTATGATGTGAGCTGTGAGGCTGGTTGGCTTCATCATCCATCCAAAATGATAGTTACTGGAGTCTGTGCCTACAGCTGTGCTTTGGAGCATAGTAATGACAGAGAGGTGTTTAGAGATGTACAATGCTGACTCCTCTTGCATGCAAAAGCATCTCTGATAATAGGATGGGATTAAAATGAATGCTCACAAGGCACTGTTGAGGCCATGAGCATTTCTGCATGGAAAAGGGAGGCAGGTTGGAAGGAGGTTTTGACCCTTTTTGGAGGGGCTGGCTTGTGACCCTGCCTCAAAGCTTATGTACCTGCACCCATGTGCATTTGTGTATGCGTTTCAGGCCATATCCATACAGAGAATTCATTGTTTGATAGAATTAAACTTAATTGCATTAACACTCAAAACAGAATTAGGAGGATTCTGTCTCCAAAGACTGAGCTGTTGCAATCCAAGCTCAGTCTTTTTGACATAAAGACCTCAGCTTGCCAATCACAGGGACCGAGCTGAAAACCCTCTGGAGAACCAACATTCACACCATAAACACATTTTTCCCTTTGTTCTTTAAATCTTTTTTATTATTATCTTTGTATACTAGGGGAGGAAAAGAGAGAAAAGTGGAGAAGAAAAGGGAATTAGTTGGGAAAATTACATATTGAAAATGCTGATGTGGCGCTAGTGATTTCTGGCTCCCCCAAGCATCCATTTCACTGGAGCCAAGCGATGCTTTCCAAGTAGAAACAATGATAAATTACTATCTATCTGAGAGATTGAGAAAGTCCCATGAGCTGTAGTTGGAAAACACCAGCCTTAGAGGCACCCCAGAGATTATTTGTCATCCCAACTAGAGGGAGGAGAAAAAGAGGGGAGCCCTGTGGGTGCGAGGATGGACGAGCCTTTCTTTTGCTGTGCCCATGTAGGTAAGAGGGAGTGGACAGGGGGACAAATAGTGACATATGAAGAAGACATAATGGGTTACAGTGAGGGTGGTGAAACAGTGGCACAAGTTGCCCAGAGAGGTGGTAGATGTCCATCCCTAGAAACATTCAAGTCAGGTTTGATGGTGCTCTGAGCCATCTCAGTTGAAGGTGTCCCTGCTCATTGCAGGGTGGTTGGACTAGATGAACTTTAAAGGTTCCTTCCAACCCAAACATTCTATAATTCTGTGATCTATTTGTCACCCAGTGCAAGTGATGGCTTCCTGGGAGATGTGGTAGTCCCAGACCTGATGTCCATGGGTCAAGGAGTGGTCCATTGATACCTATGGGGCTTGCTCCAGCAGCAGCAGATTGAAGCAGCCTTAAAAATAATATTAATATTACTAATAATGTGGACAAGCAAAGCAAGGCTTTGCTAGTAAAATACACTGTAAGCCTGCCTGGTCTATCTAGGCGTGAGCTGGGGATGAAGCAGGGAGAGGAACAGGGTGATTTAGACCCTGGCCATGCAGGGAGGGAACAAGGGCCGCTTCCGAACCGTGTGTTTTCTTAAAGCCTATGCGAAAGTATTACTATTTGCCTAATGAACAAGCACAGTTTTTAAAAAAAATAGATAAATAAACAAACAAACTTAAAAAAAAAGTACCCTTTGGTGAAGAAAAGCACCAAACTCCCATGGTCTCGTGTGAGTGATTGATCCCAAGGTGCGTGCGAGCTTACAGCGTCTGGACTTGCATCGGTGTGTCAGGTTCCTTTGCGTTTGAAATAATTATTTACGTGTAGGTTGAGATTAATGGGGTGAGTTTAAACAGTGAAACGAGACGAACAATGACAAATATCTAGAAACAAAACATCGATAGTTTACAGGGTTTTGTGAGCTTAAATGCCTTATATTTAACAATCATAATTTATGACTAACTTGTAGATATTGTGGGTTCTTATTTAATTATTTTTATAGTTTTTTTTTGCATTTTTAATTATAATTTATTTATTTAGAAATTAATACTAATTTTTTTTATTACTCCTATTACCTCATTTTTGCATTGTTTCTGGGAATGGAATGCTTTGCATGCGTCGGTACTTTAAAAATAAAAAGTTAAACATGGGATGTGGGGGGTAATGCTTATCTTGTCACAAAAAAAAATTAAAAAATATAAAAAAATCAGGGTGTGTGATTACAAACTGTATTACTGTGGTGCTGTTACCTTGGATACATTCCATAAAAATGCAAACCTTTGATTCTGTATGCTGTGACATAGTGGAAAACTGCAATATAGTGACTGTGTTTAGCACATATATATGAATATTATTTGCACTCATAATCAAACTCTGGTGATCCTTTCACTTGTGTCCTTGTGCATTGAAGGTGATTAAGGACACTCTGCAAAACCAAAACATTTCAGTCAATTCTTGCTACCACCCCATCCCCTAACACTGCTGGCGATGCTCCTGCTCTTTCTGCATGTTACCCTGCAACAACACCTGGTATGAAGCTGTGCTTCAGGCAATGCATGCATTTAGTGGAAGTCCCTTCAAATTGCTCAAAATCCAAGAAAGGAAGCCTAGGCATGGTGGCTCTGTGTAGATTTTTGTGCCTATGCGTGCTTGATTTGGTTCTTTTCACCCTCTGTTCACACATGCATGTGTGCCTCATGGGAGCTGAGGAGGGGATGGAGGAGGCAATCGGCTGAGCCTGAGCTTGGAGGCAACAAAACTGAGGGATTCATTACAACTTCTACCGGTTAACCACTGGTCTAGCTGGGAGGGGCTGGGATGGATGTGAGAGTAATTCAGCATCCCTTTGTAATGCCTGCCATGAGTATTCACTATAACCCAGCTGCAAAACAGCCATGGGGCAGAAGGCCTCAGTGCTGATTGTCTTGACCAGTTAATTTCACCCCCTTTGTTAAGAGGGAAACCTCAGAGCTTTTTAATCTACTCTCAACCTGGGACCTCCACTGGAACCCTTCTGTACCCAGAGAGTGGGGAAGCCCCAAGCTGTTGTGCTGCTCCTGCAGCCGTGGCCAAGCATCTCCATTTCCATCCCCATTCCCAGCCATAGCCAGACCCTCACCACTCTCGCAGTGAACTGCCTTTTCCTAAAAGGCTCATGAATATCAAGTGCTCAAGATTTGCAAGAGGTTTTAGAGCACCTTTGATAATACTTTTAGCTTTAAGCCATAACCACTCTCAGTCAGTGCAGATGCTCAGCCACCTATGAATAGACATTGGGATCAATGCATGTGCTCAGCCAGTGCCCCCCTCCACAAAGGCTTTGGATGCAGTTCTCTTTTGGGTTAGAAAGGCACAGAATGACTGTACCTTGATTTTCTTTCTCTCTGTCCCTTCAGGATGCTGCTCTGCTTTGTTGACTTTGCCTTACCCTGGGTTTAAAACCTGTCTTTTTTCCTTGCTGCTCTCTAACACTCTCCCCTGTAGCCTGTAGCTGCAGTTCTGAGCTGTGCGGGGATGGGGGATTGTTCGTTCCCCCCCTACAGCAAGGACGCTGCAAAAGAGTAAGTGAAACAAGGAGTGAGCGAACAAAAATCTTCTCCTCCAATGACCTGGGCAGGTGAAAGGATCACCCACATTTTTGTACTCCTACTGCTGTTCTGTTGTGCTGTGCAACATTTTCCTACATAGACTATTTTATAGAAGAAAGCTAGAAAAATATTTATTATTAATATTAAAGCAATAGTGCATTGAAGAAATGAAAAGACATTAGAAATTGTGTAAATGCTTAGATTCACTTTTGGTGGATTTTTTGTACTTTATTTATAACTAATAAAACAAACTGCATTGCTAACTATATACCAGTGCCACACAGAAGTCACCTGCCGGGGAGAATTGCTTGGTCTTTATTCAATGCTCTCTTCTTGTTTCTTTGGGTTCAAGTAAATTCTTCTTTCACTGTTTATGCCTTTGGACTTTGATGTGTAAAAAAGACACTGATGGGGTATAAAACACTCTGCCCAGCTAGTTTACAGAGGCTGTTGGAATTTGAGCTCCATGGCAGAGGTGAGGTGAGGCTCTACACACTGGGCACGCCACCATGCGTGATGTTCTGTGGTACAAGTTTTGTGATTAGGTGCCAAAATTACTTTCCAAAACCAGTCTGGAAATTGCCTGTTAAAGAGAGATTTCTCCTCTAAACACATTCAATGGTGCCTGTAGGTTGTCTCCATCATGTCCTGAGTGATAATGTCTGGTCCTCCATCATTCCAGTGGAGAAGCATCTCCCTCCCCATGGGTCTCCTCTTTAATAACTAAGGAAAGACAAACTTATTGGAAGAGGGGAAAAAAAAAAATCCTCCTAATGGATACAGATATATTTGAGATTGTTTTCAATTCTTTTGTTGCCTGAATCTAGTGGGCCACACATCCAGTTATGCATCCAGCACAGCTCATTTCATAGGTCCTCTTGCACTTTTATTTCTTTACACAATGAATGGTGAGAGTCTCTGCTCCCACCCACTTTCTATCCAGCTGTTCCCCCTCATGTGTTTCATGTAGAAAGGCTGAGACAAGTCCCCAGCTTTGACTATGTGATTAAACAAACTAGCTTTGGAGACAGGCGGCTGCTGATCGTAGAGATTTCATTCTTGTAGCTGAAGGGAATTTCCAGCTTCTCCAGAATCCAGGCTGCATAAGGGATGCATCATATTCAGGCAATGCAAAGCTCCCACTATAGGAAGCTTTTATAAATTCAGACAACAGAAAACAGGTTAAAAATGGCCTGCTGGTCCAGCTGAGGAAGATCTCAGTGACCCACTAAGACCTTGCTGATGTCCTTTGAAAGGGTAACGGCTTTGAGAGGGTTGCTGAAGATGGCAATTGGTTTTGCTTCAAAGCAAACACACTGCCACAATCTGATACCAGCCCATGGGAGTGCAGCAAGCAGCAGCTGGTGGCTGTGAGAGGAGGGATAGGGATTGTGCCCATTAAGGTAGAACAGCACAGGCCAAGATGCAATGTCTTTATTCATTGCAAGCATCTGCTTGTGCAGCAGCTGCCGAAGGTTGGGAAGCTTAGCCCTCGTTTGGTTTTGTAGTATCTAAGTCCTCAGCTGGCCCACAGATTGCAGATCAGAGCTGTAAAACCCCATCAGTAAATGTTCTGTTGATGTTGCTGTTGGTTAAAATGAAGCTTTTTTCTATGTTGAAATCCAGAGAGTGAGCAGCAGGTCAAGGGAGGGGATTTCCCCCCTGTGCTATGCTCTGTGGATACCCCAGACCTGCAGTCTTGTGTCCAGCTCTGTGGCAACAACACAAGAAGGACATGGAGCTGTCAGAGTGAGTCCAGAGGAGGCCATGGAAATGCTGCGAGGGCTGGAGCAGCTCTGCTCTGGAGCCAGGCTGAGAGAGCTGGGCTGGTTCAGCCTGGAGAAGAGAAGGCTCCTGAAGGGGAGACCTGAGAGCAGCTCCAGTGCCTAAAGGGGCCATAAGAAACCCAGAGAGGGGTTTTGGACAAGGGCCTGTAGGGACAGAACAAGGGGCAGTGGCTTTAACCTGCCCGAGGGGAGACTGAGATGAGCTCTGAGGCAGAAGCTCTTCCCTGTGAATGTGCTGAGGCACTGGCACAGGGCGCCCAGAGAAGCTGTGGCTGCCCCATCCCTGGCAGTGTTCAAGGCCAGGTTGGACACAGGGGCTTGGAGCAAGGTGCTCTAGTGGAAGATGTCTCTGCCCGTGGCAGGGGTTTGGAACTGAATGAGACTTAAGCTCCCGTCCAACCCAAAGCAGTCTGGGATTCTGTGATTCTATAATAGAGAAATTATAAGATGTATGCTTCACAGCCCTCAGTTATTCTCCTTTGTGTATGTTAAGTTGCTATAGGTATGTGACACTATCAAAAATGTTTCACAACTATTTTATAGATATCTTCAAATAATCCTCTGTGTCCTGCAGCAAGAGACAACCAGTCCCTCTTAGCACCCAGCACTGCAAAGGACTCTTTGGTTATACTTGGTTTTCACCAGCAACACCCAAGTCCTTTTGTAAACTCAAGTCTTCATCAGTTTCCCAAAACTAATGGGGACCACAGGGGCGATGGGATAGTCTGGTTTTGCAGCCTCCTGCAAAGTGCCACCGTCCTTGTCCTTTGATCTTGCTTTTCATCTACATTTCTGTTTTTTGGATGAAGACATTTGCATTAAAACCACACTAATTAAGAAATAAAGAGCAAAACATAATGGCAGAGGGTGTTGGGAGGAAAAGGATCTGTGCACCTGTTCAATATACAGCTTTGGGATGCTCTGCCCCAGTAGGCAGAGATTGCCTGAGCCCTGCAAAAGGCACAGCACCACATAACTTTGGCTTCTCTCTTCCCCAGTTCTCCACTTGGCCAAGAACGTGCTGGTTTTAGCAGCTTAATGTAAATCCATCCCTTGGAAAAACTGTGCTCTCTCCTTATTACTTTTGTAGCATTAGTTGTTGTAGCAACAGAACGACTCCCCCAAGCAAGGGTGGAGTTGAGTGTTGCACAAACAAAGGGCATTTTTGAGGCCTTTAGAAGAACAAAGCTGAGATTTTTCATGCTTTGCCAACATTGCCTTCCCGTGAGGCAGTGAGATTACTGACCCCTGTATCAGCAAACTGCCCCTTGGTCCTCCTTAGGGCAGCATTGCCTAGGGCTCAGCACAGCTCTTGTGTTGAACAACCCCATCCAGGGATGGTAGGTGGTGTGATGACAACCAAGGTATATGCAAGCCCATCTCTCACCTATGCTGTGGCTTAGAGACCCCAGAGCTGTTCATTCCTGCAGGAATCAATGGATGAAGGAGCCACAGGACTTCAGTCCATGGCTGTAGCTACTTGCTACGTGTGATTGTTACCAGATGTGAGCACATCTCATATGCACAATCAGGATTCCTCTCTCCTCCTTGCCCCATGCAGGGGTAGCGTGTGGATCACGAGCTGCCTTGCCACTCCCAAGGGCTGGAAGTATGCAATAGTACAGGTCCCGTGTGCCTCACAGGGAATTTGCCCAGGGATTGGCAGGGGTTAAACTGCTGCGATGCAGCAATACTGTAAAACCAGCATCTCTGGCATCTCCCATACCAAGCTGGTGCTGACTGGAGCCAACTGGAAGTGCTGGGACTACAGTATTTCAATGAGAAAAAAACCTCCTGTTTCACTGCAGCACACACTTGTCTAAAAATGGGACAATTGTACTGAAAGGGATGTTTTTTTCATAGCCCTGGTAGGCTGGGGTGAGAGGGAAAGCAGAGAGATCAAAAGCCTGACACTTTTCTGTTTCAAAACACACATCAGGGAACCACTGCCTTGCAATAACATTGCAGAAGCACAGCAAAAGCAAATGCTCCAGACTTTGGGCAGCCTGAGCCCCAGCAAAGTCCCAGGGATACGACATGCCTGTCGACCCCAGCATCCACCTTTAGGGGTCTGTTCTCCACCTCCTGTAAGCTCCCAGCTCCTCATCTTGGTCCTTGCTCAGAGCTTGGTATCACCACTCTGTAGTGATAGGGGAGAATACAGCCCATATTCTGTATTCTATACAGTTAACACTGCTGGTGTTATTATTCCCATCAGCAAGTAGTTGATCATTGATGAGGCTGATTACTGGGCTCATTTAAGCAACTTGCTCTGCTCCAAAACCATCAGTTACTATAAAGGTTTCTAAAACAAATTAGTCTGAGCTGTTATTTGTGAGCTGGCATAGACAGCTCAAGTCTCTTTGGTGGTGCCTGCTGCTTAAAATAAAGATGCAGTACTTCCCTGGTGGGGCTTTGGTGGGATGCAACAGCTTTATATCCAGGAGCAATCAACAGTACCTGCAATATGCCCCTAAATACTGTCTCAGCATCACTAGCCTTTTCTGAAGCCTCCTTTGCCCATGACCAGGCAGGGACTGAGCACTGGGACAGTCCTGCCTTGTGGTCAGACACATGCAGGTGATGATCTGGTGGAGTATTCTTCCCAGCCCAGCGACTGATGGAGAAGGTGGGTGGACTCAGTGAGTTTAACACATTCTTGACCCATTTGATCCCCATTCACGCAAAGTGCTTGTTTAAAACCAGCTTCTGGGAAGGGGAATGACCTCTCCTAGAACATGGGTGGGCCAGGGGGAAGGTCTCCTCACAGAATCATAAGATAGTATGGGTTGGAAGGGACCTTCAAAGATCATCCTAGTCCAACCCCTCTGCAATGAGCAGGGGCATCTTCAACTACATCAGGTTGCCCAGAACCATATCGAGACTGATCTTGAAAGTCTCCATGGCGGCTCAGATACCTTCTTTTCTCCTCCAAAGGATGTGTCCTGCAACTTTGCTCCCTGGGGCAGGAGATGGGGCACCAGGAGTAATGATCTATGAACAACTTTTCCTGTTGGTACCTGTAGAGCTGGGGAGAGCTCTACACGAACACTGGCCCTTATTGTGGCTGAGAAATCCCTTCTCCACTACAGAAAATTAAAATAGCAATCCTTATTAGAAGTAAAAATCGAAATGAATGGCAGCTGCTCTGAATTAGAGTTGGTATTCAGGCCACATAGAATAAATTTTCCTGAGACAGCTTTGAATATAGTCAGTACAGCTTCCTTGGAGTGGAATTGATTATCCAGTAGGTTTTTTTGCTATCCTGCTGTAACTGTAGATCTCAGCTCTGGGCAGACCCTGGTTTGAGGGGAAAAGCACATGGGTGGAAAGCATGACCCAGGTCCCACCCACTGTGGGCCGGCTGGGTAGATAATGGGCCCTTGTAAACCTCCTACAGAAAGCCCGGCTGTATCCACTGCTTCCGATGTAGGAAGGCATGTGGATGGACATGCAGTTCTGACAAAGAAGTGGGAAAAAACTGGGATCTCCAAGCTGCAGATATTCAAAACCCATCTGAATGTGTTCCTATGTAACCTGCTTTTGATGGCCCTGCCTTGGCAGGG